ACTGCAGGCTTATCTCCTGCCCTGTAATTCACCAAGTGACTGCGTCTTTGAATCCAGATATGTATTCAAAATTCCGACCCAGTTTACTCTCCTGTTCCCAGAAACAAGCTCACTCTCCAGTTGATTCAAGAGCTGCCTCACCAATTCCACCAATTTCCTTCCAGAAAAATTTTGCTCGAGAGCCTTCCCTGGAATAGACCACATCAGATCCTCATCCAAGCTCTGGGCGAAAAAAATCCACTGAGCAGGAGGGGAAGTCTCACAGAAGCCCTCTGGACCACTGTCTTCCCAGTTCTGATGTCACTCCGACTGACAAAGTGACACCTTAACTGATAAAGAGAGTGGAATTCCTTTTGAAGAGGAACCAAAGAAACAACTGTGTTCTTAGGTTAAGTGGCAGATGCTTGTATTTATAAGCTGTTAGATCTAAAGGGATGGAAGCGATTATTTAGTGAAGTGTAGGCTCCTCATTTTGCCAACAGGAAATCAAGGCTAAGAAAGGGAAAGTGTTTCGAGTAATGTTGGCTAGGGGCAAAGGTGCAAACGAGAATCCATCTCTTTCTTCTTTATGGATGCGTAATATTACATTGTACATATGTACCACATTTCCTTGACCCATTCACCCGTTGAAAGACACGTGGGTTCTTGACTATTGTGAGTCAAGCTCTTATAATCATTGATGTGGATGCATCACTATAGTGTGCTGTTTTTAAGTCCTTTGGCTAACCCCAAACAAGGGAGGTGGGGGAGGGGAATAATAGAAATCCATTGGATTAGACAAAGGGAAATGAAGAGAAGGGGAAGAGGAAAGATAGTAGAATTAATTGGACATAACTTCCCTAGCCTTGTATTTGAATATGTGACCAGGATAACTCCACATCACGTACAACCACAAGAGTGGGATCCTGGGCTGGGGACATAGCTCAGTTGGTAGAGTGCTTGCCTCACATGTCCAAGGCCCTGGGTTCAATCCCCAGCAACACACACACACACACACACACACACACACACACACACACGTACACAAATAGTGGGATCCTAAGTAGAATAAATCATACTCTTTGTATGTATAGTTTGCCAAAATACATTCTACTATCTTGTATCACCAAAAAGAACAATAACAAAAAAAGAATTCAGGTCCTCTCTTCCCAGTCCAGGACTCTAAAAGATTGATCCGTGCTATACAGCAGAGGAAAGAGGCCTCATTTCAGAAATAGACACCAGGTTGCAACCATGTTATGTGGAAGGACCCTTCTTGGTTGTCAGTAAATCCAAAATGACAAGAAAAAAAGGGCTCTGACTTTGCAAATGTGTGCCACAGAGGGGGAGTGAGTCGGGGCTTCTTTGAAGGCCACTTAGGTCCATCCATTCCTTTCGGCCGCCATTCGGGTTACCCAGCATCTTCACTGTGCCATCCCAGTCCACCCTTGCCTTAGGAGAAAGTCCCAGATCCCCAGTTTGGACGGGAAGGTCTGACTGTCCTGGTTTCTTGCTTTTCCAGCTCCACCTTCTCTCATCCTTCCCCTCCGGCTCTCTGCTGCGGCCTGGTGTAGCTTCTCAGAGTTCCTCTATCAGGCCATGTGGGTGATCTTTCTCTCATGCTCTCTCCTCTCTCTCTCCTTTGTCCATTTCACCTAGGCTTGCGATTCTGAAATGGGCCATTTTACCTCCCCAGGGGATACCTGGCAATGTCTGGAGACACTTGGTTGTCATAACTGGCACCTAGTGAGAGACCAAGGGTGCTGCCAACACCTTCAATGCCCAAATCATCCTCCCATCACAAAAGATGATCCAGCCCCAAACAGTGCAAAGATTGATTGAGAAGCAATCTTTAAATCAGTTGAAATACCACTTCCTCCAAGAAGACCTCCCTTGATGCTTTAGATAAAGCCGAGGGCCCTTCCCCTCTCGGTGTGCTTCTACCATGTCCCTCTCCTTCACAGCACTTAGCTTCCAGGTGAACATTTGAGATAATGTGACATCTTCCTTCCCCACCAGTCTATTGGTCCCAGAGGACAGAGCAGGCTGTTGGTCATCATCTGATCCTACTGTCCAGTTGGTACCCAGCACAGTTAGGCATCTTTTTCCCCTGTTAGCCTGAGGACACTGAGGATGGTAGAGCACAGATGACCTTTCTTTCTCCCCAGGGGTGATGAGGGTTTCCAGGGGTCCCAAATGCAGGCCACAGACACCCCAAAGAAGCCTGGTCCAATGCACGATCTTGGGAGACTGACAGAAATGGGCTGATATTATAACTCCACCACCCTCTAGCCGGGTGACCTTCAGCAAGTTGCTGAATTTCTCTGGAACTCCATTTTATCATCTATGAAAGAAACACAAAAATAGAACCCGTTTCATGGAGTTGTGAAGATTCAAAGGCATAGAGTATGTGAAATACTGAGCTCCAGCTCCAGCACTGGGTATGGGATTAATCACTGTGAGGAGGACATGCTGAGGGACAATGCCACTTATTTTGAGAGCCCTCTGCAACTAGGCACTGGTTAATGGCCACAGGGATGGGGTTGGAAGAATCTGGAGGCAGTCTGCCAACTTCTTCTTATGTCCCTCACCTCTCAAATGTGCCTAGGAACACCCCCATCTTCCCTAGCCCACGGACTCGTTATATCTACCAGCAGCTCCCCACCCAAAGCCAAGGTGCCTCCATGTCACCTGTAGGTAGGGTGAGGCTAGACCGTCTCTCCCTCCTCCACACCCACACCCTCTTAAGAGCCCTTACCTGGCGCCATGGCCTCTTATCTGGATTCTGCCTCCCAGCCCAGCCTTTCCCTGGACCATTTCTTGGTCTTGCTGGGCCAGGCCTGTGATGTCAGCAGGGGCCCCACACCCTGAAAACCATCCTGGCCCTGGTGTGAACCCTGGTCAGGTGTGAACCCTGGTCACAGCCAGGCATCCCCGGTTTTCCTCACGGGCTTCCCCAGGGTATCAGAAACATTTTCAACAAACAAATCCCAGGAATGGATTACTAGGGTTCCATTCAGCCCTTGGGGGGCCATTGGAGGGAAAAGACTTTCCCATTTCGAGCCCTCTCTGCTTCCTTTCCCCACTCTTAGACATTCCCAAACTGTTTTTTAAAAGAAACAAAGGTCTGTTTCCTACACGGACCAGGTCAGCAAACAGAAGCGTGTGTTTGGAGATGGAGGGCTGGACCGGAAGAGGCTGCTGGGCCTGGTCAGAGGGGATATCAGGGCAAGGGGAGGCTGCACACAGGAAATCCTTTGGCTCTGGGAGCAGATGTTGGAGCCAAGTCTGGCACAGATAGCAGTCGGTGGTGTTCACACCCGGGAACCTCTCTACAGAGCCCCCTCCCTATCTGCAGAGCTCCAACACCACGGGGCTGGGGAGGAGGATGGCCCTCACTGCTGGGAGACCAAGAAGGGGGAACTTGTGGCATCAGCTTCAGGTGAAGGAGCCCTGATGCTCCCGCAGACCCTGGGCTGAGCAGCCTGCTGCTTCTGGAGTTGACTGGTTTGGCTTGCTGCTCTGCAGCCTGTGAAACCGGACAGGTCAGTTTCCAGATCTCAGCTGATTCTCTTTCCCTTCCTGGTTCTCCTGCCTGTAACTTGAGAGTTGGTGCCGTTTCCCTCCTCTTCCTCCTTCTGCCAAAGGAGGTTTTTCGTGGCTTTTGTTTTCACAAAATATTCAAGGAAAGGTCCACTCTCTTAAAAATAAGCTTGGTGATTCTGACACCTGGGAAGTTATTTAAGGCACTGCAACAACTGCAGTTAGACCCCAGAAGAGAGAAATCAGCCTTGCCTCTACCCTGAGGACACTTTTTTCTCATTGAGCTCAGAGAAGGAAACTGGCATCAGCATCTGCCCTCACCCTACTCCCTGCCAAGTCAGGTCTTGGGGGAAGTAACAGTTTTGTCCCCAGTGTCTCTTTTTAAAATTTATTTTGAAAAAGTAGAAAGTGCCCTCTTTGTCCACTTGGTACCCAGCACAGTTAGGCATCTCCAAAGTGTATAGCACACGTCTTTCCCCGTAGTCAGTGCTACTAAATATATGAGTGATCTAAGGGAGGCGGAGGTGGCTCAGCAGGGCCAGAGTGACGTACCTAGGGCCCAAAATTTCAAACACTCTCCAAGGTTGTTCAGTCCCCCTCCAGGGACATCCTCACCTTGGACCCATCCCTGTGGCTCACCTTGCAGGAGCTAGCCGCTAGTCCAGCAGATGGTCCCTGCTCCCTGGCACTGCAGAGACAAATAAGTGATACAGGGAAAAATAAAGACTTCCCTTGGGGGATGTCCAAGGCATGAAAATAAACATTCACCAAATATCAGCTGTGGTTGTTATTATTATTATTTTTATTGCCTACAGTAGCTTATTCCTAGGGCTGCTCCAACAAAGTCCCACAAACCAGTTGGCACAAAGTAATAAAAATATATCGGAGTGTCAGTCCTGGGGGCTAAGAGTCCACAATCATGGTGTTGGTGGCTTGGTTCTTTCAAAGGACTGCAGAAGAATCTGTCCCATGCCTCTTAGCTTCCGGTAACCTCAGGTATTCCTTGGCTTGAGGGTGGCTGTCTTCTACCTTTGCTTCTTAATATTGTCTTTCCTCTGTGTGTGTCTGTCTCAGTGTCCAGATTTCTGCTTTAATAAGCACACCAGTCATGTTGGATTGGGGTCTACCCTAATGATTGCCTCTTAACTTGATTATCTCTGGAAAGACCCTATTTCCCAAAAAAAAAGGTCACATTGTCAAGTATGGAGGGGTCAGGACTCCAACATGTCTTTTAGGAGAGGAGAGGCATCACTCAGCTCCTGATGCAAGGCTGTATCACTGGCTCAAGGTCACATAGCTTGTTGGTGATGAAACTGGTCCCACAACCCAGGATGATTAGAAGTCGTGTTGAGGGCGTAACCCCCAGTGGAAAGCCCCATGCATCTAACCTCCTCTGGAGAGAAAGAACTGAGGACAGACCCACAGACTGCTGCTGTCATGTTGATGGCACGTTCCCTCTCTTCTCCCTTCCTCCGCAGCCTGCCTGCTCCAGGCTGAGCTGGTAAACTACGAGCGAGTCAAGGAGTACTGCCTCAAAGTGCTGAAGAAGGAAGGGGAGAACTTCAAGGCCCTCTACCGGTCTGGTGTGGCCTTCTACCACCTTGGGGACTATGACAAAGCACTCTACTACCTGAAGGAAGCAAGAACCCGACAACCAACAGGTAAGGCAGCGGTTACCGCTTTCCATCAGCCCCCTCTGGCAGCTCCTGGGGCCTTCCCATCGCAGCACCCAGGCTAGCGGGGCCTGGTGGGGACAGAGATGCAAATCAGGGGTCAGTGAATGGTAAGATCTGGAACGAGGAGAGCACACAGCTGTGCACTCACCTGGGGTCTGGGCTCCAGGGAGCAGAGGCACCTCTCTCTCCAAATAGGCTGCAGAATGTTTTGCAGTCGGACTCTTGTCCGACTCAAGAGTGTCAAATTCTGACCCTATAGACCCCCATTTGTGGTGGGTCCTGGGAACAGAGATGAGAAGACATGCTCCCTACCCCCCGAGGAGCTCACATCTGGTTGGCAAGTGAGTGTGACCTCTACCATTCGTGGAGTGATGTCCATTACATTAGCTCACCCAATCATTCATTCGTTCACTCATTTCACAGACATTTATAGAGAGCATACAGTGGGCCAGCCACTATTCTAGCAGGAAGGTAGTCGTGGCTCAAGGAATTCCCATTCAAGTGGAGAAAGATGGACAGTTTGCGAATAGACAAACAGACGATAGAGTTTTTAGTACTGGCAAATGCTCTGAAGAAACCAAAGCAGGGAAAAAGAAGTGCTATTTTCGGCCAGGTGATCAGAAAGAGCCTCTCTGAGGAGGTAACATTCAAACGATTTCTTTGATTTAATGTTACCATCATTATTAACATATAGTACTATTTTTTTTAATGCAATCCTCCTTCCATGAAGTCTTTAAGAACCTCAGGATCTGTTTGCAAATGTCCATATAAATACTTTTCTAAGGGTACCTCTTTATTTTTATGTGATATTGGTTTGTTTTCTGTATATAAATTGTGTTCTAGCAACTATACTGTTAGCAACCTGAGAACTGAGAACTGGACTCGAGAATTTTCTTGAGCACCTACTCTGTGCCAGTACTGTTCTGGATGCTGCCTGGCACTTTTGAGCATGATACAGTATTCATTTCTATTTCTGGAAATAGATATCCTGGTAACCCTGTAACTATTTTGCTCTGATGTATGCAGAGCTAAGCAGTTGTTCCATGTCACGCCCTGCTCACCAATTTGAGGACTGGAATTGAGGGGAAATATCCCAGTTGTGGAAACGTGGTTGTCTGACTTATAAAGACAAAACTAAGTGAAACAAAGTCATTATAAACTCTTCAAGTTTTTTTTTAAAAAAAGCACATTCAACTAATATTTATTGATCATTGTATTAAGCACTTTCAGACTTGCCTATCTTGGTCCTCATGTCAACTTTGTGAGGATAATATTCTTCTTTTTTTTTTTTTTTGGTGAGGGGGTACCAGGGATTGAACTCAGGGCCACTCGGCCACTGAGCACATCCCCAGCCCTATTTTATATTTTACTTAGAGACAGGTCTCACTTGGTTACTTAGAACTCACTTTTGCTGAGGCTGACTTTGAACTTGCAATCCTCCTGCCTCAGCCTCCCAACCTGCTGGAATTACAGATATGCACCACCGCACACAGCATAAGAATAGTATTCTACTCCAAAGGAGAGCCAGGCTTTGGAATGAGGCGCACCATTTACTATGCGTCTCCTTGGGTATCTTACTTGATCTCTCCAGGTACCAGTCTTCCCAGTCCCAGTGAGGATGAGGATAAAAAATCTTTGCAGAAGTGTAGTGATGATTAAATGAGAAAATGAAGGTTTAAAGCTGGCACAAGCTGGGCCCAGAGGCACATGCCTGTATTCCAGCTACTCCAGAGGCTGAGGCAGGAGGATCATGAATTTGAGGCCAGCCTGGGTAACTCAGAGAGACCTTGTCTCAAAATACAATTTTTAAAAAGGACTGAGGGTGTAGCTCAGTGGTAGAGTGCTTGCCTAGCTTGTGCAAGGCCCTGCGTTGATCCCCAGGCCTGGGAAAAAAAATTAAAATCCAGTGATAAATGAACTAGCAAGCAAAAGCAGCACAAAGCAGGCATTCAGAAATGAAGGTTGTTTCTTGCAAGTGAGACATCAGGATCCGAGGAGTTGGTAATTTATCTAAGATTAATCTCCAAGGGGAGTTGTAGCTAACTGCTGATTTGAGAGGGACTGGGATGTCTGCTGCATAGAAATGGAAGAGAAATTCTCCTCTCCTCTCCCTCCTGCCTGTCCCTTTGGGGTCACAGCGAGCTGTCCACATTTGCAAGGAGAGGTAGTGAAAGAGAAGGCCCAACATCTGGTTCCCCTCTCAGCTGCCACCATGGGAAGGCCAAGGGACCTTGGCTGAGTGTCACCTGCCCTGTCCCCGAGTTGCAGGCCCAGCTTTGCCCTATTCGGTGTAGATGCAGTTGTGCCCTCCTGGCTGTCCGCTCAGGTATGTTTCTCTCCTTGCAGACACCAACGTGATTCGGTATATCCAGCTGACGGAGATGAAGCTCAGCAGATGCTCCCAGAGGGAGAAAGAAGCCATGTAACTACCAAGCCTCTCCAGAGACACCCACGCCTGACTGGAGACTTCCAGGCACCCGCTGGTGGAGAGCCCCACCCTAGATTCTGTCCCTTTACCCCACTTCTTCCAGCTCCCCTTCTTCCTCCCATTGTTCCTCAACTCTGTCTGCGCCCAGTGTGAAAAGAAGGTGAGATGCACATTTGGAATCTGGTGGGCTGCCCAGACACAGAGACTCCTCTTCACTGGCAGGTCAGGGACTGAGAGGGGCCTAACGTCTGCTGGGGGGGGAGTCTCACAGGCTGGAATGCTGGGAAGGCAGCAGGCACGGAGCCCACGGTCTGGAACCTGCTATGTCCTCCTGAGGGACCAGGACACCTTAAGGCAACTGTGACAAATCTAGGGCTGAAGCAAACACCAGAAGCACAGGTGGAGGCAACATTAAAGACTGGACTTGTAACTGGACCCCCGCCCCCAGCCCCCTGTCACCTTAGCCCCTGCCACCCCTCCCCGTCACTTGGCTTGGCTTGTGCTTCCTTCTCTCTGCCAGGATTCACATGCCATTGAGACCCACGCTCAGTGCCCTCTGGTGACCACACATACCATTCCCCCAACTCCCAGCCAGTAGGCAGCTGGGACAGCACAAGGGCAGAGCATGTTGGTGACAGGGGAGGGACAGATGATGGGTAAGGGAAAGAGCATTGTGTAGGCTGGGGGATCCCACTGTGGACTCCTTAAGTGTAAACAAAAACAAACTTTCAGGCAGCGGTTCCTGTCACCCTGTGGGGATCTACTCCTTCCCTCCCTCACCTCCTCCCCCAATCCTCCCTCAGAGCTGCTTACAACCAGGCAGGATGGGCTTCCCCCAAAGTGCAGGGCCATTTGTCCAGAGCCAATGTATGCCACGTTGACTGTGGCTTGACAGAGTGGGCTGGGATCATGGAGACTGCCCTGGGGCCTGGCTTCCTGGGAACCTGTCCAGCCTCTTTTTGATGAAATGATCTGGACTCCATACCTAACACATAAAATGTGTTCAACAAATATTTGTTGAATGAATAAATTATAACTGCAGACTGACTCTCCTGCCTTAAAATAATTTTATCCCAGCCTAGTCTCCTGGTACCCCTGCTCTTTATGCTATGCCATGTTGCTTCAGTCAAACAAGAAACATTGATTGAGGGCTTGCTGTTTGCTCATTGTAGTGCAATATGCCCTGGGACACAGGATGTGGTCCCAGTCTTCAAGGACATTGGAAGAGTTGAGAAATGCATATGAGATTACTACCAATGACACCTTTAATTTATACGATGCTTCAATGTTTTCAGAGCACTTTGGTGTATTTTTCGTGCGATTAGTGAGATACTATTGTACAAAATTAAGATATCTACTGATGCAATAATGTGAATAGTTAGGATTTATTAAATGCACTATCCTCAGATCTTTACATGGACAATCTCATTTCTTTCATACAGTTATTCTGTGAGATTACTATTCCCATGTGATAGATAAGAAAACTGAAAGCCAGAAAATTAACTACCCTAAGGTTGCATGGCCTTAAGGGACAAAGGCTAGGATTGGAACCAGATCTGACTCGAGAGCTCTAGCTAATAATTATCCTATACTTAGTTGACTCTGTACATAGTATGTTAGGGCATTACAACTGTTTCAGACCTGGACAATAAGCATTAGGTTGAAATTATTTCACCATGTTAATAGTGGTACATGGGCCCCCTCTTGTTTTCACCCAAGGCAGAAAAAGATCAGCGATTAGAATCCCTAGAGGCCAGAGCAGTGGCAGACCAGCAAAGACAGCTGAGATCCAACAGTTTTTTCATATAGTGTCCATTCTACTTACTGATGAAGCCAGCACGTATCTAAGTAACCCACCCAGCATCCCCACCCCATCCCCAGCTCTGGGAAAGGATTACAATTATAGGTACAGACAAAAAGGAAATGCAAAGTTAATTATGGGTTATTTATTTAAGCAGAGGCTCTGTCACTGCAAGATCCAATCACTGCCCAGGGGCCCAGAAGCCAGCAACACAGGTTATATTCACATAGCTCCCCAAAGACTTTCAAAGGGAGCTGCAGAAGGTGCTAGAAATATCCAGGGGTCCACAATTGCTTACCTGTAGCTCACCCTCTGGAGAAGAGGAAAAGAAAAAGCCATTCTAGCTGCCACATTTTCTGCTCCTGTTCCCCCACCCCTATCACATCCTTCTCTCTATCCCTCTTCCTCCAAAATGGCTTCAACATGACCCCAACCCAAAATTACCCTCAGGCTGAGCATCAGCATACGCACAAAGCTCCCCCTTTCCCAAGCCTTCAGCTTGGGAAAGTTCATGAGTTGGCTAACTGTTTGTTAGAAGATGAAGGATAAAGATGAGGTCAGAGGTGGCCTGCAGAACCAGTTCAAATTAGCAGGGTCTTTCTTTATTCTTCATGCATCTGAAAGGACTCTGAGTAACTATTTCCAATGTGGAGGTAGGAGAGAAGTCTTGCTTAAATGTGTGCATTGGGACAGGACTGGTTACCATCCCAAAGAGAACACTTAGAAACCAGAACTAGGTGAGGACGACCTCTCAGAAGCTCACACAGCAAGTGTATAAGCCATTGGCCTGTCTGTTGACTTAGATTCATATGCTTAGTGGAACTCCATTCACTGTGACCCAAACTTGAACCATCCTCCACCCCCCCACGCCCACCCCCCGAAAAAAGCTGCCTGGGTGATTGGTTGATGTTTAGGGTGGTAGGACTGAATTTTCCATGCATTTGTCCAACAGAGAGCTGTTAATCAAAAATCAGATTCATTTAACCTTATTAACTCTTCAGCTTCCTTCTCTCCACCCCTTTTAAAAACAGGGACTGTGGTTTAATTACACACTTTTCGGATGTCACTGTTGAACTCTATAGACAGAGCACTAATCATGGGTCTGACCTGCATCATCATCTTCTGCCTGGACTTTTGTGATAGACTCTTTGAAGAAAAAAATTATACTTTTTGTTTAATTGTGAAAGTCTCACACGTGTATTGTAGAAAATTTAGGGGGGAAGAAAAAGAAAAGAAATGACAAAATTCAACTCATAATTCTACCACCCAAGAACTATATCTTTTATTCTTTTTGGTATAAATGTATGCACACACAGACACAGGTTTTTTGTTTGTTTTGTTTTTTTATGAAAAAATACTGGATCACACTGTATATACTCTTTAATAACTTACTTTTCAAAATGCATATTTATATTTTAGAATAGGTAATACATATAGAGAAACAAAATTCAAAAAGTACAAAAAGCTCTATAGTCGGAAGTAACTCTTCCTTCCCTGTCTGCCAACATCTAGTTTGCCTCTAATTTCTTGAATATCCTTTCAGAGATACACATTTTTGAACATACATATATACTTTTATCACACACAGTGGTAGCATATTGGACACACTTTTTTTTTGCTCATTTTATTATTTCACTGAATATATTCTGAACATTTTTCATGTGTGTCTTCCAGACTTTGGAAATAGCATCTTCATTGTATGGATGAACCCTCATTTTGTAATCAACACCCAAATTTCGTTTGTTCCCAGGCTTTCTTGTAAATAATGGTGCAACAGACAACCCTGTAGCTGAAATTTGCACACCCCTATGACTGTTTCCTTAGGTTATATCCAAGAAGGAAATTGCTTGGCTATTTTTAAGAATTTTGATATATATTGCCAATTGCCCCCCAAGAAGTTTATACCAAAACACTGTCCTATTCGCAGTTTCTAGAGTGTCCTGTTTCCTGCAACCTAACACTGGGTATTATCACTAATCAAATCTCTACCAATTTGACAGGCAAAATAATAGTATGTCAATCTTATTTTAGCTTTGATTATTAGTGAATAACATTTTCATATGCTTATTGACCATTTGTACTCCTTTCTTTGTGAATTTTCTATTTATTTGATATTGGTATGTTTATTATCGATTTGTAATTTGAAGAATATTATTTTGTCAAGAAATGCTGCAAATATGCTTTCCAAGTGCTTTGCTTTCAAATTTTGTTTATGGTGCTTTTTGACATACATAAATTCTTAATTCTGCAATTAATTTGTTCCTCTGTTGCTGGCTTCTCCTGCCTCCAGTTTTTTCTCTCATTTCTATCAGAGTGACCCTTCTCAGATATAATCTGATTGTGTCGTTCCAGAGCTTAAAGATTTTTCATGGCTTCTCATCACCTTTAGGAAACAGGGCAAATTCCTTAACATATAACTAACTCCTTAACATTTCTTTCATGTATTTGCTCCCTCTGACTTTCCCAGGCTCACCTCCTGGCCCTCTTTTCAAGGTATCCTGCATTTTACTGTCCCATAGCCCTGAACCTTTGAGCGTTGGGACTTTTTACGCTGTTCCCTCTGCCTCCTTGTCATTTCTCACTCCTTCCATCCTCTCTTTGCCTTGCTAATTCCTGTAAGTTTTGATCTGAGTTCACTGCTCCCAAAGCAACACCAGCCTACCTCTGCCCAGCATGTGCTTCAAATGATTGGAATTTCCTAGTTGGATTCATCTCTCCCACCATACGGATGCCCCCCAAGGCAGGAACTATGGTCGATTGATCTTTGCAGTCAGAATGTCCAGCACAGGGGCTGGGGTTGTATGTAGCTCGGTGGTAGAGCACCTGCCTAGCACATGTGAGACAGTGGGTTCAATCCTTAGCACCACATAAAAATAAATAAATAAAACGAAGGTATTGTGACCATCTACCACTAAACAAAAATTTAAACAAAAAGAATGTCCAGTCCAGTGCCTGGCACATTATAGGTACTCAAAAGCTATTGAACATTGAGCCTGCCACAGATGAATAATAGATTCAACAGCAAATGTCACTTGTGGTAAATGCAGGGCTGGACTAGATCTGTACTTCTGAGAAATAAAGAAGTCCTAGGAGGCCTGGGTCAGCAGAGAAGCCATGTGCTCCAGCCCTGTGCCTCCAAATCATCACAATCACTTGCAAGAGCTTTTTAAAAATATATCATCTCAGGCTCTGCTCCAATCCCAATAAATCATACTCACGGGGATACTAAAGCTTTTAAAAATGTTTTGAAGTGTTTCTGATGACCCGGATGCTGAGCAGCCACCACGGAGGTAGACCAGAAGACTCATTTTAGAGCACTCAGCTCTAAATTTCAAACCATATGACCTTTTGGAAGGACTTTTGTTTGAATTCAAGATGTACCATCTAGGAGTGATTGTGACCCTGGGAAAGTGGCTTAATTGTTCTGACCCTCATTTTCCTAACCTGCATATGGAAACAATGTTATATCCCTAAAAAGGATATGGAAAGGGTTAAGAATTAACTTGGGGGTGGTGGTGGGGGGACTGGGGTTGTGGCCCAGAGGTAGAGTGCTTGCCTAGCACGTGTGAAGCACTGGGTTAGATTCTTAACACCACATAAAATAAATAAATAAAATATTTTATATCCATCTACAACTAAAAAAAATTTCAAAAAAAGAAGTAACTGTCTGATCTGGGGTTGTGGCTCAGTGGTAGAGCACTTGCCTAGCATGTGTGAGGCACTGGGATTGATCCTCAGTACCACATAAAAATTTAAAAAAATGAAACTATTGTGTCCATCTGCAACCAAAAAAAAAAAAAATTAAAAACAAGAAGTAACTGTCTCTCGGCTCAGTACTTGCTACAGAGCAAGCACAGAATAGATCTGCATTTCCTTCCCCCAGTGCCTCAGCCTCAGTTTCCTCACTTACAGAGGGGCTACTAATCCCTGCATGCTTGTCTTTCATATCCCCACGCTCTCCACTCTAGGAGGAAGGGACTTCCCAACAAGCCCTTGGATTGCTCTCTTGTCAAACAAACAGGACAAATGTTTGGGAGTTGTGTAAGGGACAGAGGAAGTCCTGCACTCCACCCCAGGACCTCCCCAGGCATAGCAGACACTTTGCAGCAATCAATGGGAATCATTCTGATGGTTTTCAGAACCGACTGTCCTCCCGTCACATCCAAAGAGCAACAAGGGTTTCTTCCAGACAGTTCACCCTGAAGCCAGCAGTCTCTGAGCTACAAGAAGGCAATTGTCTGGAAACAGAGTGGTCATTTCCCACTCTCCTTCCAGCGCCCTTGGTATCCTCATCACATGCCTCAGGGCAGGAAAGACAAGACTGGTTGTGAGGTCAAATAGCTGATATGCAGCTGCTTTGATTAAGATGCCCCATTCCCCACTCCCATGACTGCACCAGCCCAGGGCAGCAGCAGAGGCAGGGGGAGAAATGCCTTCAGTCCATCAGTCGTGGCATAGTTCAAATTACGGAGTCAGCATGAAAAGTCCCACTCTAAATGGACTGAAATTGGATTCTATTAAAAACCACACTCAGCAAGGCTCTTGGCTATTAATATTTGCTAAGACATGGAGGAGGGAGAGGAGGCGGAGGCCCCTGAAAAAGGCTGAGGATCTCAGCTTCTGTTGAATTACTTGTCTGGAAGGGAGCCTACATCTGAAATGTGGACTTGCCCTGTTTCAGAGTCTCACAGAAAATATCAAGGCTGGAGAGAAGCTCGAAGTTCAATAGTTCCATCATCCTCCTCTGTTATAGATAATGGATCAGATCCAGAGAAGGCTAATGATTTATTCAAGGTCATACAGCCTATATAAGTAAGTACAAGAGTCAGAACTGGAACTCAAGTCGGTTTCCTAACATTAAATTTAATCCTGTTTCCACTGATCCAAACGTACTTACAAAGCACCTAACTTAAAAAAAATTATTCATATATGCATGTGTGCATATATACACATGTATATATATAAATGCTGTAAAAATATTCTCTTCTAAAGAAAGAAGAAGCATTATACTCATTTATTCCTTCATTCAAGTTATCTTTGCTATCGCTTTCCTAGGGGGTTCAATGATTAACAGTATTTTCTCTGCTGGAGGGGCTTACAATCTGCAGAGGAGAAAGAAAAGTAAATAGGAAGGACCAATTCTATATAAGAAATGTTACAAAAACATCATGGGCACAGATGAAAGGGAGCATCTGTACCAATCTTGGAGGATCAGGGAAGAGTTTCCAGAGACAGAGCCAGGTGAGTAGAGCAAGAGTAGCTAGAGATGGGTAAGCTTCAGAAGAGGGCCAATGACAATATAATATTCTGTTACTCCCTTTCCTGGATATAAGATACAAAGGTGTGCCTCATCATAAATTGTCTTTCTGGTATTTTTTCCTGGTTTTTCTATGCCTGGGCTTAAGCAATGCCACCTTCATAGACCCAAGGACTGAGAAATCACCTAAGACCCTGCACATTCTATCTGACTAAACCCCCTCCTGGCTACCATATAGGGACAAGTGCCTATACGTGTTTTCTCGAGTGCAATCAAAAGGGCTTTAAGATATTTGATTTTCACACAGGGAAAATCCTACACCAGGTTTCACAAATGTCAATCCAGAGGCACAATTTAGCAAAAGGAATATCAAACTGCTGAGCATGGTAGCACAGACCTATAATCCCAGCAACTTGGGAGTTTTGAGGCAGGAGGATCACAAGTTTGGGGCTCAAAGCAACTTAGTAAGACTTTATCTCAAAATGAAAACTAAAAGGGCTGGGGATGAAGTTCAATGGTAGAGCACCCCTGGGTTCAATCCCCAGCAAAAAAAAAGAAGAAGAAGGAGGAGGAGGAGGGGGAGGGGGAGGAAGAGGAGGAGGAGGAGGAGGAGGAGGAGGAGGAGAAAGAAGAGAAAAAGAAGAAAACTAATGATCTTGAAGGTACAAAACATTGTTGAAGGAGATTAAAAGAAGCCTAAATAAATGGAAATATAACTTGTGATAATTGCAAGACTTACTATTATCAAGATGTAAATACTTCCTGAATTGATCTACAGATTCAACATAGTTTCTGTCAAAACTCAAACTGATTTTTTTTCTTTGCAGAAATTGACATACTGATCCTAAACTTCATATAAAAATTAAAGGAATTAATTAAAGGTATTCTGGAATACCTACACTACACACACACACACACACACACACACACAAATCCAGAAAAAGAATAGAGGACCCACATTTCCTGATTTCAAAACTTCAAAACTTACTACAAAGCTACAGTAATCAAGACAGTGATACTAGCATAAAGTATAGCAATAGATCAACAGAATAGAAATGAGAGTACAAAAATAAATTCTTGCATTTACAGTAAATTGATTTTCCTACAAGAGTATTAAGACAATTCAATGAGGAAAAAAGAATCTTTTCAACAAATGATGCTGGGACAACTGGATAGTCGTGTGCCAAAAAAATGAAGTTAGAACCTGGTGCAGTGGTGCACACCTGCAATCAGAGCAACTTCGGAGGCTGAAGCGGGAGGATTGTGAGTTCAAGTCCATTTTCAGCAACTCAGTGAGACCCTCAGCAACCTAGCAAGACTCTGTCTCAAAACAAAATTATTTTGAAAATCTGGGTATATAGCTCAGTATTAAAAAGAAGATGAAGAAGTTAGATCCCCTGCTTCACACTCTATACAAAAATCTACTTAAAATATATCAAAGGCCCTAAATGTAAGAACTAAAATTGTAAAATTCTTCATGACACTGGATTAGGTGACAGTTTCTTATATATGACACCAAAACACTAGCAACAACAAAAAAAAATGACAAATTTGACTTTATATCCATTAATATTAAAAATATGCTTCAAAAGACACTTTCAAGAAATATTAACCCAAATAATGAAAAAAAAATTGCAATTATGTAACCGATAAAACACTGTCTATTATGACGCAATAACAAGAAGACAATCCAATTTAAAAACAGGCAAAGAATCTGAACACACGTTTCTCCAAAGAAGATATGCAAATGCCAAAAAACACATTAACAGATGATCAACATCATTAGCCATTAGAGAAATGCAAATCAAAACTATGATGAAACACCACTTCACAGCCATTAGGATGGCTATCATCAGATAGACAGATTATAAGGGTTGTTGAAGATGTAGAAAACATGAAACCCTCATACACTGATGTTGGTAACATGATATGGCCCAGCAGCTGCTGGAGAAAACAGTTTGGCAGTTCCTCAAACAGTTAATCATAGAAACTTT